TACACACAGCAAAGCAGGGCCCTGTCAGAGAGATTCTCGAAGGAAGTGACATTACAGTTGAGCATTGAAGGATGAATAGGAATTGCCCAGGTAAAATATGGAGGTGGCAGGGGCGGTGGTGAAGTTAATAATGGTGGTAGTGGTAACTGTGGTGGTGGCGATGGTTGTGGTGGGCGTGGTGATAGTGGTGTGGGGGTGAAGGTGATCATGTTGCTGTTGGTGGTGATTACTCGTGGTGGTGATGACGATGTTGGTGTTTGTGATGGTGATGGTGTTGCTGATGGTGGTTAGTGGTGGTGATGGTGGTGGTGGTGGTGGTGGGGAAGATGGTGGTGGTGGTGGTGGGGAAGATGGTGGTGGTGGTGGTGGTGGTGTTACTGATGGTTAGTGGTAGTGGTGATGATGATGTTGGTGGTGGTGAAGATGGTGATGGTGGTGGCGGTTAATGGTGATGGTGAAGGCGGTGGTGCCGTTGGTGGTGATGATGCTGGTGGTGCCGTTGTTATTAGCAATGACGGTGATGATGTTGCTGTTGTTGATGATGCGATGGGGGTGGTGAAGGTGGTGATGTTGGTGATGGTGGTTAATGGTGATGGTGAACGTGGTGGTGCTGTTGGTGGTGACGATGTTGTTGGTGCTGGGGGTGGTGAAGGTGGTGGTGCCATTGGTGGTGATGATGCTGGTGGTGCTGTTGTTATTAGCAATGACGGTGATGATGTTGCTGTTGATGATGTGATGGGGGTGGTGAAGGTGGTGATGTTGGTGATGATGGCGATGATAATGGAGATGATGTTGCTGTTGGTGGTGATAGCGGTAATGCTGGTGATAGTGGTGCTGTTGGTGGTTGTCTTAGTTTCCTGCAGCTGCCATAACAAAATACCACAAGTGGATGGGTTTCAAGACCAGAAATGCATTGTCTCACAGGGTTGGAGGCTAGAAGTTCCAATCAGGGCATCAGCTCTAGAGGAAGGTCCTTTTTGGTCTCTTTCAACTTGTTGTTGTTGATAGTTGCTGTGGAGTCATTGCCACCTCATGGTGACCCCATGTGTCATGAAGCAGAACTGGGCTCCTTAGGGTTTTCACGGTGGTGACCTTTAGGAAGCAGGCTGCCAGACTTTGCTTCCGAGGTGCTAATGGTCAGCA